CCTACACGTCCATGAATATAATGAACTTTTAACTGCTTTGTGTGTTGTTTTTGAAAGAAAAAGTCTTTTAGAGTATGCCTGTGTTTGACCAGATTGTCACTCCTTCAGTTCTTGCTTCATCCAAATCGAATGGTAATTCATTCTCTACCTGACTCCTATCTGAAATAGTTGGTCTTTTTTCTTTTACCAAATTTACTATGTAACACCTGCAAATGACAGTAAAATGACACTGCCCTGTTAGCTCAATAACATTGTTTGCCTTTTATTGACTTTAATATACGTATCTTTTCCTGAATACCAAGGAAATCCACACCACCTAATTCTGAATTTAGACCATGCTATGAGAGGCAAAACAAAAAGTTGCAAAAAATTTTTGTGAAGAATATTAGTCTGAAGTTACTGGTATACATTTAAAATTATGTACTTCCTCCAGTACAACCAAGAGTAGGCTACTAGTATACCAAAATACTACCTTTTACAAGCAAAAAAGATACATTCCTGAATGTCAGTGCATAGTAAGATTGAAAAAAAATCCCAGTTAGCACTTCGTATTACATTCATTTTCTAGATTTTATTGCACAGTAATAAATATAACTTCTATTGGATTTTGTCTTTGTAGGCAATCAATTATAAGCCTTCAAATGAATATGTGCAAAAATGTATCTGCAAATCACAAGATTATTATATTTTGTTTTCATAAAAAATAAGATTTGCAAATGCAATATTGTATTTATAAAAAAGTCATGCAGTTTAAATAATATTCACAGTAAGTTATTTTCACACTGTTGAAATATTGAAAAAGAATGAGACAAAAAGAATAAATTTTAAAGCTCTAATAACATCAAAACTAAAAAAAAAAGTAAACACAAAAACCCCTGAAATATATATGAATGGCATTTCATTTAAGCCTAAAAGTGTAATGATATTTCTGTATACTGCATTTTTTCCATTCAGTATTCAAGTTTACCCAGTATATTCTTCTCAGAACCAGCTTATGATGCTTCCTATTGTGTGGATACTGTTTTTAACCTGTCAGAATAGCAAAATATCATAGGCTGTCAACAGCACTGTGACTGGTACACTGCTAAACCACCAAAATTGTGTGTTGTTGCGACTCCTACACTGCAGGGAATTACAACATGGTAAAACTGATGATCTCAAAGATGAATATGGAATAAGGTACTCCTGAAATTCATGCAAATATGTGACATATATGTAAGTAATATATATTAAGCATTTATAAATAAGATATTCATGATGGTGAACACTATCACCATAGTGTTTAAATAGCTCCTGGCAACTAGGCTTATGAGCCATGTTCAGTACTGTGTTTCTACTCTTTTCCACCCACTCTTTTAATAATCCACTTAAGGATAAATATACTGATGAGAGGATTTTTACTCTGTTGTGTGCTGTTTTTTTCTTTATTTCCTCTGAAATCTTGGATTAGAAAGCAAAGGTTTAGCAAGATAGTGGCACATGATTTTCCAGATAAGGAAAAGGGAAATCCAGCTACACTGAAACATCCTAAACTGAAAGAAAAGCATTATTTTCTCCCCTGTCACTAATATATTTCATTTTTGGTTGCAGGAGATGTATTGCTCCCAAGGAATATAGCTGTCTTAGTAGATCATGTAAAAAAGACATAATCAGAGGTGTATTTAGATCTTGACCCCTTAGACATTTGGACATCATTATTACGGTCCTATACTGAGAAGAGAGATTGAATGGAAGCCAAAGAAAAAGTGGAAGCATAAATATGATACGTGTAAGTGTTCCTGAGAGTATGGGTTGCCATATTCTCCACTATCTGTAAGTCTTTATACCATTGTTGCTTTCATTAAAAGAAATGGTAAATCATATAATCTAGGTGAATCATTTTATAAACCCCTATTTCGGAGGAAAGGAACTGGTTTTACAACACAGCGAAGGTGAATAAGGACTATACTCAGAGAAAAAGAACAAGGAAGCTTTATGTCAAGATAATTCGTGAAAGCAGAAAGCTTTCCAAGGAATGCAAGCAGTGACTATCGATAAGAACGCCTACAGATAATTTTTTCTGCTTTTGGACCAGTCCAGTTTTAGCTTTGCATAGGCTCATTTTGCGCCAGCTGGGCTATTTTGTTTTTATGATTATTTTCAGCTGTTTGTTTTGTTTAGAGATGATAATTTCTTCCAGGCACAAAGACTTCATTTTTTTCACGAACTTTGAAAACTGGGATACCTAAAGGCGAGCAATTCTACAGAAATATAATGTCATGCTGCCTTTCAAGAAATTTTGTACAGCTATTAAGAATAAGGGAAAATTGGAAGGATTTTCCTAACATTTCATAGATTTTTATTTCTTTTTTCAAAAATCTTTTCTCTGTTGACATTCTTGTTTCTATAGCAGAAGAATAGTAAAAGCTATTGCAGAGCTACAGCAGCTCTTCCCACATACATGACATAAATACTTCCTGAGCATTGTGTCACAGGGTGCAATGACTGCAAGTATATTGATCACTGCAACATAGTACACATCCACTGTTACTTGGCTTTAGATGGCTGTGAAGCCTGAAAAGTATTAGTTAAGGTTATGGAGGCTCACCTATAGAGAGAGAGCCGTCCTGTTGTAGAGCATATCTCCTCTGTTTCTCATTAAGTCAAGAGTAAGTCTACAGGATTAACTTCCTTAGATGACATGTATGCTACTTCAGCTTTTTAACAATTTAATTTAGACTTGTAAGGTACAAAATGATGGAACAAAAGCAATATACTTCTTATAAGTACTGAGTTTCAAGAATTAGGGTACCTTTCATTTTCAGGGAAGTTAACGTAGTGACCTCTTTAAAACATATTAATGAAAAAAGGCCATTCATCTGTGAGCCTCTGAACACTCTCCACTTCACTCCTAACCACAGAGAAGAAATCTTCAGGCAGCAACGAGTGGAGTTTCACTGGAGCTTTTCCATTTGAGAGATTCAGAGTCACAGTCTATGTAACAGTCGTAAACACTCCATATTTTCAGTAAATCGTATTTATGTGTTTTCAGTACACAAAGCAATTCACCATCTTCCAACCTGAATGAAATAATCTTGGGGAAAAAATCACAAGCATCATCAGAGAACTATGATTCAGTCTAGCTTTGTCTGAAAGTTTTTCTTCCAAGAACAAAAAAATGTCATTTTTTATTATTTTATGGACCAAGCATAAAGATTATTTCAGAGTTACTGTTTTCCAAGTAAATGAGTGGGTACTTATTTGTTGTTGTTACTGATTTAATGTTATTATATATAAAAAATATATAAAAATATTTTTGATACATTTGTTTCAGTAATTTAGACCTCACTGGAAGTTATTTGATTTTATGTTGCCACAATCTGGCTACTGAACAGAGAAAAGGTTCAGGTTTGTTAATGCTTTTCTGTATTGTTGTATTGCACTCTTAAAATGCCAGTTGATGTGTCCCTTCTTTCTCCCACCACAAGCACACACGTTTCTATATGGTATTCTTTCAGGAAAAAGGAAAACTACAGGACTCAGAATTAAAAATGTAAGTCAAATTAAACAAAAATCAAAACTAAAAAACCCCACAACTGTTAAAATTCCAAATACAACAAGATTAGGCTTTTGGCTTCTAGTCTGCACCCAGAGACTTTTTTATAGTAATTCCTGAACTCAGCACCTATTTTGCTTTTTTCTGAATGAAGTTCCACCACGATCGGTTCTGAAACAGCTCTCTGTGAGACTCTCATGGAAGTCTGTAGGAATTAGTGAGTTTAGGTACATATATTTAGCAAATGGCACAGGAAATACTCAAGGTAAAACTATTGTATTTTTTTAAAGTTCTTTAGTACTGACACTCTTGAAAGAAAAGAGTTTGTTACTGAAAACTTTAAAAGTAAATGGTATTTTCTATTTGTGTTACTAAGAGCCCTCTGTGAACTACTTGCCATTGCTGAAAGAACAAAGCTTTTGAAAGATCTGTATTGTCTGTCATAGGTAAAACCCTCAAATATTTAGTATTTTCATATTACATGGAGGGTAGCTGGGACAATACTTTAATTTTCTGTGGAGGAAAATATTTCTGTTTTCTTACAGAAAATAAACACTGCCTTTTTAAAATCTGCCTCTGAATTTTTAATTTATGCATGCTGAAAAGCTGAAGACTTTCCCTCAAATTCATTTAAATAAATAAAATCAGATGATAAGCTCATGGTATCTGCAGGTACCATGAAAATAAAACTTGATCTAAATACACGGGTCTTTCCAGGGTTTTAGATTCCATGTTTATCCAGAAAATCTATTTCTCAGTTGTATGTGCAGGCTTATATTATAGTTTCAGTGAACAATTTTTCCATGCATCACCAATTTGATGCCTAGCAACACAAGCTCTTTGAGTTCAAAATGCATCGTTTGATGTTATTAAAAATCTTGGCTGGATTCAGATACTCTTTTGTCAGTGAACACAATGCATGGGTTGCTTCAAAATCAGATCATAGGAATACATTCAGTAGTTTTCTATTACAACATTGAAGTCTTTCTGACAACAGAGCCATGCCAGCTCCTGAGCAGAGGTGAATATCAACAATTC